TGTGGGCAGCTCAGGAGCTGTCAAGGGAAAGTAGGCAGAAGAAAAGTGTCTGTGGACTTCAGGGCAGGGAGGAAATTCCCTCACTGTCTCTAGGGAGCTGGCACCCATGGGGCCCCCCCGCAAAGCCTGGGGTGTTGGGAAGTGAGCTGGGGAGCCCCCGAGAAAACCTGTCCTTGAACCCTTTGCCAGTGTACATGGGACATGGGGAAAGATGGCTTTAAAATCTTCTGCCTGGTGCCTCATCCTCCCAGGACCCAGAGGGCAGCCAGAGCGCTGTCCTGGAGAGGGCCTGACACAGCAGAGCAAGCTTGCTCCTTTAGATCCGTCCCAGGGAACAAGCTCTTCCCCATGGGTGTCCCGACTGGATGTTGGGGGCTGCAGATAGATGTCTCCAGAGGCTGCAGAGGTTTATGTTAAAGGCGGCCTGATAAGGCAGATCCCACGGAGACGCCCTCACCCAGACCCCTTATTTGATAGATGGGAGACCAAAGTCCAAGAAGGCTGAGTCACTAGCTCAGGGCAGCACACTCTCCAGTAGTTAAAGACCCAGACGGGACTGTCCACCATCAGATGCCACAGCCAGAGATTCCTTGGAAGGGAGGATGCACAGATGATAAGCCCAGGCCTGTGAAAGCCCCCGCCTTCCTGTCACATTAGTGACAGATCACGCCTTCTAGAGCCAGGACTCCTCTCTCCATTCTGTTGAGTCCCCAGCGTGGTCCACCCCAGCACCAAGCCCAGGAGAAAACCCGCCAGCAGATTTCCCTGCACTGCTCGGCCCTGGGGCTCCGGGGGCACTGGAAATCTGCAGAGGGTGCCTGCAGGCTCCGCCTCTCCCTTTCCTGGCCTCAGAATGTGTAAGAAAGACCAGCTTCACCTCTCAGTAGGAAGCTGCTCCCTACCTACCATAAGGAGACTTCCTAGAGGTGGAGGTATTTAAGACACGGTTTAAAGGGCCATTAAGCATACTGGGCTCCAATGAGTTTAGCAGGAAGCAGAGCCCCAGTGACGCAAACACAAAGATACATTCTGGTGTGTCTAGTAGGGAGGTGGGGAGGGATCCAGACCCAGGATGACGAGGGAGGCGCAAGAGTGGGAGCAGGTGTAGGTGGGTTCTCTTTTGAGCAACCAGGAGGGTCCTAAGTACATGGCCAGGAGAGGGCAGAGAAGGAAGAAGAGAGAAAAACAGTGGGGAGACTCAGGAAAACCATCTCCTGACAGCTACTGTACCACCTTCTAGCATTTACAGAATTTACAGTTTCGTCCTATTGTGGGTGAACCCAACACTTCCAAAAATAAAATGCAGGAAACAGCCCGAGAAATGTTTCCAAGGAATGACAGGGCTGCCCCCTCGTTCACAGCAACTCTCCTAGGAGAAGCAGGACTCCACGGAAAGTCTAACAAGGAGAGCCTGCACCCCGCTGTACCCTCCAGACCCCCAAAGCACAGAGAAGGAGTAGATGAGAGAAGGGCTCTACCCTGGGCCTGGAAGCCAGGATCCACCTTCCCGGGAAGTCTCAGGAGGCTGGCAAGCTCTGCTCAGGCAGGTGGGATGCTGAATCCCTGGGGAGAGAGACAGGTTTCCTGCACACAGAAATGCCCTGACTTAGTCAACAAGAGGCCCTTGGAGCTCCCTTAGCAATTACTGCCGCACCACTCAGCCTCGTGCCTGGCTGGCCACTAATAATTTATTGCAAATACGTCTCGTGGCTCCAATAAGGCAGCCGCTTCTCTGCCTCTGAATTCCCTGCAGAGCGTCACACAGCTGGGCACCCAGCTGGTCCTCATTAAAATCCTTCCGGGCCTGAATCTTGTCACCCTTCCTTGTTCCCGTCTCCAGCCCTGCCCTCCAGCAGCCGGCCCAGGGCACCCACTTTTCCTCACTTTCCTAAGGGCTGCATTGGCAGTTGCCAATACAGGAAGGGCAGATGAGAGCCTCTGAGTCTGTAGATCTGACTGGTAGCCTGGTGAAAGATACCAGGACCTTCTATAGGTAAACAGGGAATCGTTATTAGCAAATTCTCTAATTAGGATTCTCTTTATCGTCCTCCTGTGGAAAATACTCCTTTGTAACCTTTTAAGTCAGACCATGCAGAACTGGAAATCTGTAAGAACATTGCCCAGGAAGGGTCTCTGGCAGGAGCCACTTCCCAGGTTTTGGTTACCACCTATAAAAAAGAGGGATGGCAATGCATTACTGTAGGCAGGTGACTAAACCAACCTTCCCATTCTGTACTCCTGTGCAATATTGGACCATTTCGTTCATCCGTGTGCAAAACAATGATGTGGATTTGGCGTGAAAAGACTCGAAGTTCCCATCCTGGCTTTGGCGCTTATTAGCTGGCTGGTCCTGGGGAAGTCACTTCAGCTTTCTGAATGAATTTTCTCACCTGTGAAATGGGCGCAATAATAATATCTTCACCACATAGATGGTGTGAGATCTAAATGGGATACCACGTGTGAGCAGGATTGATAAACTGTAAAATAGTATCCAAGTGTTACTGATTATTAACAGATCACAATGACTGTGGTGAATAAAAACCTCCCTTTATATAAGCAAACGCCTATGGGTAACAACAGAAACACAAAAAAGATCATCGCTGATGGATTTGCTGGTAACTCTTCCCTGCCCAGGGAGATCGGCAGCCCTGAAACCACCTCTTGAAGTGGGGACCCACCAGAGTTGGGTAGTAAATGCTGATCTCGGGATGAAGGCTGGAGGTCGGGGCTCTCAGAACACAGGGTCAGACTACCCACCACCTGCCAGGGCCTCACCCACGTTGCTTCTGCTGTTGGGCAGCAGACTCCCAGCAGCCACTTCCCCAGCTGTTTTTAAACGACAGTAAATTGTGGTCCTTTTTTTTCTAATGCACTTCTTTGCAAAGGAAGCAGACCCTCCAGGAATGAATATTCATTTGTACTACCCCTCAAAAAAATGCTGATAAACTCACGAAAAAGTTGTGTTATTGCTAAACGCTAATTGCATTTCCTTGGGTAAGCACCATAAAAAATTCATTGCAGTTTTTAGAAATAAGATACCAATTGCATTTTAATTGCTAGAGAGGAGAGAGTGGGGGAGAAGCTTAACCAGGAAAATGCTAACTGGGCAGAAGCTCAGAAAGACATCTCCCGAGCCAGAAGGCCCAGTCCTGAAACAAGAGCTGAGGAGACATGAGTCTCCTGGGGAAGCCAGACCCTCCCGGAGGGAGCACTGACTCAGTGGCACTCAGACTTGCAGCATCAGAGCACCTGGAAGGCTGGGGCTTTCTGTTGTCAATCATGACATGTAGATTTAACAAATGTACAGAATTATATGAGCAGGAGTCAGTTCCAGAGCTTTAAGAAACATGTATGGGAGGAAAGTTGTGATTCTACTACCCCTCAACGTGGGTGTGAGAGAAAGAGAGAGAAGGGGGGCGGGGGGAGGACGGGACCAAGGCCATACATCATTTCACTTTAATACCAGAAGTCCTGGACCAGTTCACTGTCATTTAAAACCTACACCCTATTCCAACACCAACCAGAGTGTTCTTACAGTGCCCCCGCCCCCCGCCCCAGCAGGGCCAGCCAGAGCCAAGTGAGAGCAGGAAGTAGGTGAGATCGACAGAAGAGTGGGGCAGATCCTGACTCCATGGGCTTCACCTGGGCTGGTCCAGCCTTGACCCCATCTGCCCAGGAGCTTCCCAGCCTGGGTCTGTAGGGAGGCACTTCCCCCACCTGAGAGCACAGGGAGAGGGCAGGCCCAGGGCATCCCTGAGCATCCTCCCAAAAGACGCGCACAGGGGCTGGGAGGGGGAGGGGCAGAAGGGCAGGCTCCCGACTGCCGCCAGCGCCCTCTTCCTCTCCAGCTGCTCCCTCCCCACCTCCCAGCTCCCCCACCTTCCCGACCCAACCCCAGCTTCTCTCCTGTCATTGAGGCTCTCTGGTGAGATAGAGGGGCTCGAAATCAGGGCTGGAGGGGAGTGGCCCTGTGGCCTGGAGGCTGGCCGGTGGGTGGTGACTGTCTCTGGCGCAGTGATAAGAGATCCATGCCTTCTGCATCCAGAGCTGCTGCTTCTCCTCTATCTAGTGGGCCTGGCAGAGACCCCAGGAGACATGAGGCTGGTGTGCAGTGAGACTGAGGAAACAACAGGACGGGGCGAGGGAGTCCTGGGCTGAAAGAGAAAGGAGCTGACCTACAGAGTGGTTCCACCCTTGGTTAGCCGAGTAACTAGCATTTTAATAAATCACTTAACCACTCAGAACCTTCATTTCCACTTCTACCCAATGGGGCTAAAATATCTGCTTCTCTAGGTTTTTTGTAAGGTTTGAATGAGAAGGTGGACGCATAGGTCCCCTGTAAACTCTAAAGTTTATTATCTACCACCTGCCCTGAGCCCAACCTTGCAGAATGATGCTTCCCACTGTCACACCCTGCATTTGTAAAGTACTTTATACAGATCACGTGCTTTTATACACATTCTCTCACTTGGCTCTTCCACCTAATGGATGAAGTGGAGTGGCCGGCCCAGGATCACACAGAACGAATCAGTTGCTGAACTCAAACTGCTAAAGGCTGAGCTCTCTCCCTAGGGCAGGGAGAGCAGGCACGACCAGGGATGAGTAATGGTCGTAAGTAAATACATAATAACACCTGGATCACTCACTCTAAGCCTAGCGCTGGGCAGGTCTTACCTCATGTCATCGTCACATATGATGGCATATGCAGTAGCTACGATGGTTACTACCAGGACACTGAGGTTTACCAAAGTTAGGAATTTGCCACAGGTCACACAGGAAATGGGGAGATCTGGGCTACAAATTCAGGTCAACTCTTCCTTAGTGAATATGCTTAAACTGATAGAATGGATGCAACGTTATAAGCATCACTTCTTCCTCCTCCCAGTCTGGGACTATTCCCCAGCTCCCAGCAGGGCCCAGGCCCGAGGGATGAGGGTCACGGTTTCCGAGGGTTATTGGTCCTTCGCAAACGGGTCTGTCCCATCTGCCCCCTGACTCACCTGCGCCGTGTCCTGGATCCAGTCCAGGAATTCGGCAACCTTGGCGTAGACGCCGGGGTGGTTGGGCTCTGCGCAGCCGCGGCCCCAGCTGACCACCCCCACCAGGCGCCACGTGCCCTTGTCCAGGCACACCAGGGGACCCCCGCTATCCCCCTGCGGCATCCAGGCACCGGGACACAGAGAAACAGGCAGTTAGTCCTTCCTGGTGGAGTGGCGGCAGACCACTCCCCAACCCCCGACCCCGGGGCTGGGAACACACCCTGCATTCCAGGAGGTCCTGCTTCCAGGACAGATCCCGCCTTGCCTCGCGCCCCCCTTCAACCCGCTATGCGCTGCCCACTTGCCTGGGCGCCCCAGCTCGCGGAGAGGATGTCAGACGGACGCCCGGCCGCAGGCCCCGCCCACCCCACGCCGGGCCCCCGCCCGCCTGCACCTGGCACGCGTCGGCCCTCCGGTCCAGGTATCCGGCACACAGCATGCGGGGCGTGAGGGCCCCGCTGTACACGCAAGAGCTGTTGCAGAGCTGGGTGCTGAGCAGGGGCACCACCGTGTCCCGGAGCGTGTCCGACCTGTGGGCTGCGGGAGGCAGATGCGGAGATGGAGGGGCGCAGAGCAAGGCCCGAGAAAGCAGGGCAGCAAGAGGGCCTTAGAGGCCCCGGAGGTGCAGAGGCCCAAAGAGGGGAGCCCAGGATGGGAGCTGTGGACTCTGGGAGGAGGCAAGGGTCCGTCAGACTTGGGGGCTGGGAGCGAAGAGGAGGAGTAGACCCCACACATACACCCTCATGCTGAGGCCGTGGCCCTCCTGGGAGAAGGGGAGGGGGAGGAAGGGGCCTGGGTGTAGGGGAAAACACCAGGCTGTTCTCCCAGAAAGAGCCAGGCAGGGGAGACTGGGGCCCCTGGGTCTGGCCAAGGGTGATGCCAGAGGAGAAGGGGGCTGGCGCTGCCCTGTGGCCAGGGAAGGAGGAGGTGCCTCGCCTTGGGAAAGGATGCCTCCCCGACACCCACACCCCTGTGCACCCCGGGCCCTGGGAGCTGACTCACTGTGGCTGGGGTCAGTGTGGCCCCAGCCAGACACCCAGCACTGCGAGCCCCTTGGAAAATCCTGCTCTTCAGCCGGCAGGCACACGGCGCCCACGGTGTCTGCGGAGAGGCAGTGGTCCCGGGTCCCACTCCGGCTCGGCCTCCCTGCCCACGAGCCTGGGCAAAGGACCAGGGTGGGCATGTCCTCCGCGTCCCCTCCTCAAACAGTCCTGGCTTCGGCCTCCCGTACAGCTGTGCGGGTCAGGCACTGCCCCACCTGGGAGCCACCATTCACGCAGAGGACAGTGTGGAAACTGCCTGGTGCCCTAGGCCGGGCGGTGTACACATGGTGCATCCCCACCTAGGGCTGAGGGGGGATGGAAACTCCTTCTGGCTGTTTGTACCTAACTTCTCCTAATGAGGACCCATTTTGGATTTTCCCCAGGGTGTGTGGACCCTCTTGGGACATGGTTTCCAAAAGTGTGTGACCTGCCCTGTGGGCGGAGCCTGAACCTGATTTTACGTAATGCATAGACCTGCCGTTAGATAAACGCCACTTCGCTGGGAGAAAGTATTTCCTCTTCGGTTCTCTTTCAGCCCCTCTTCTGCACCAAGGAGAAAGAGTCTGTGCCTCTCTTCACGCCTGCCCACCCCTTCCAAGAACAGAGAGAGCGGCCTGACGCGGCAGTCCTGCAGAGCACAGCGCCTAGCTGGGACCTGAGCACTGTTTTGCTTTCACTCTGTGCATTTTTGTGGTTAATATCTATTTCATATAAGTCATATGGATTCTCCAATTAGGTAGTAACCTAAAGTTTCCCTTTAAATATATTCATGTCAATTTAGAAGCATTAATTGTTGAACAACGGTGCAGAGAGCACCCATATACGGTAGAATTTGTGAACGGCATAGAGCAACCACTGTTGCTGGGGAAACCCAAGGCTCCAGGTAGCAATGGGAGGGAGGAGTGCTGAGTGTGTGCGTGTGTGCGTGTGTGCGTGTGTGTGTGGTGTGAGAGTAGGTGTGCACAGGAGTAGGTGTGCATACTTATGATGTGAGCCTTGCATGAGTGTGTGAGCGTGTGAGGGCATGCACACGTGTGTGTGTGTGTATGGGTGAGCATGTGTGTCTGTAGGTGAGTGCACTTGGCACGTGCGTGTGGAAGAGCTGCCCTTCAAGGGCAGATGCTGTGGAGGAGACGATCTGCCCCGGGAATTGTTTGCCTCGTGAACTTGAAGAGAGTCAATTCGCTCTCTAAAGGTCAGCATCCTTATCTACATGCACCGGCCTCAGCTCCCTGTCAGGTTTGTTCTGAGGATGGGGTGAAAGAATATTTGGTAAGGTAAATCTTATTAACCGTAACATGGTGCTAGTTATTAACTGTTATCCTATTAACTGTCAATACATAGTTAACTATTATTCACTATAGCCTGGCTGGGACCTGGCACCAGCAGCCTGTTGGGAGATGGGGCCACTGAGAAGCTCTTCTTGGGACCTCAAGGCAATTCCAGCCTGCAGCCCAGATGGGAAAAGGGCCAGAACCTTTGTCTCCAAAAGAGTGTGGGGAAGAGTTGGCGCCACCCCAGGTCTAGGTGATGCCAGAGTCCACGACGGTCACCAAATGAAGTGAACGTTGGGTTCACAGCACAAAGGAGTCTTAGGAACCCACGGGGCTCTCGCGCTCCCTGCGCCGCCCCTCTCACCACAGCCTCACCTGAGAAGTGGAGCGGGGTCCGGAGCTGCAGGAGGGCCACGTCATAGTCGTGACTCCGGGCACTGTACAGAGGGTGGGCGATGATCCGCTCCACCACAGCCACCTGGTGCGGACTGACCGTGCTGTGGCTGACCAGCCCCGCATGGACCCGCCAGCTGGACCGGCGGGACAGCCTGAAACTGCACAAGGGGGCTGAGCTGAGCCTGGGGGAGGAAGGGGCCAGAGACGTTGACATAAATGAGTTGGTGGGGGCAGGAAGCCAACAAGAACGGCTGTTAGTGGGGGCCCCATCACCAGGCTGCAAGCTCCCAGAACCCAGGCCTCTTAGAATCCCCCAGCAGCTGGCAAGACACTTGGCATGCAGTAGGTGCTTAATAAATGCTCAGGCACTGATGGAGAGAGAAGTGAGACACTATGATCATTGGCCACCACCCCTGCACTCTCCGGCATAACCCCCTTCAAGTTTTACAGCAAACATGGAAAGGACTTGTGTGATTATCATAGCTCTAAGCCAAGTCAGCAAAGCTTTCCTCAGTGCTGTCTCCCCACTTCCTAAGTGTGATCGCTGGAGAGGCACTTCGGCTCTGCCATCCTCGGTTTCCTCACTGTAAGATGAGGATTACACCACCTGCCTTGCCAGCCATCAAGAGAAGAGGGCCGAAGAGCTCATTCATTCCTTCCAACCAGCATTTATTAAGCACCTACTATATTCCAGGCCACGGGGACAAGGCAGGGGAAAAACCAACAAAGGGATTCAGTGGTAAACAAGACTCTTCCTGCCCCCATGGAGCTTCCAGTGTAAAAGGGAAGAAAGACATTAAACAAATAATTACATGGAAATTGATTTAATTATAATGGTGATAAACGTTAAGAAGCATGGAGGGCTGTGAGTGTGAAAGCATTTTAAAAACTTAAAGACCGAACCAATATTTGTATTATGACTGCTATTTAGGCAGAACTGTTCTTGGCACTGAACATGGAGAATTTCACAAACACCGCCCGAGCAGACATGGGAGGCGGACAGTTGGACATTGTATACAGGACACACCAACAGCCAAAGAGAAAATGCTAGGGGGAACCCTCCCCCTGGCATCCCCCAGCCTTGCCTGTGCACACAGTGTGCCGCGGTCACCACCCAGTGCGGGGCCAGCACGGAGCCCCCGCATGTGTGCCGGGCTCCCAGGGCCACGCTGGCCTGCCAGGGCCAGCGCCCGGGAGCCACCGCCTGCCCGCCCACTATCTGGGAAGCCAGGGGCCTGGTCCCACACTCTGCAAACAGACAAGCACTGGTGAGATGGAAAGAACGCGGTGTGGGTGTCAGCACTGTGCTAACTGTCGAGGCCTGTGGTCCAGCATGGACGGCTCCCATTTATCATTCCTGGCCCTAAGCATGGGGCGGGAAGCTAGAAATGTTGCTTACACATCCACCTGCCCCATCAGGCGGTGCGTTTGCTGAGAGCAGGGGTGGTGCCTGCATCATCAATGGAGCCCCAGGATCTAAGAAAACGCCTGTCCCGTAGGAGGGGTCAAATGGTGGCATGTGGACAGACGTGTGGCAGGACAGATGAAGAGATGGCTAGATGACTGGGAAGGCGGGTGAAAGGAACTCTGCAAACTGTCTCTCACTTGGCCCCTCTTTCC